CCCATTCGTCAGCTCCATCAGAGTCATGGCCAACAGAGCCTGGAGACACGGACGACGTAAGTGTGTTTCTCCAGGTTCCCTGCCCGAGCAACCACACAGCAGAGGAGCTATTGTCAGGGGACACACTGGAAGCAAATGGTTGTCCATAGTGCATTTCTTTGAGATCTTGTATTCACTTAAAAGGTATGCAAAATTGTGCATTTGCCCCAGCATATCCTCTTGGTTGTTTTTGTAGAAAAAATTATTGGGGAAGGTTGTTGTGCTATAGGAGAATGCGCAGGGTTTGTTCTATGCCCTTGAGTGCCCCATCTCAGGTGAATAGCTGGGGCACATGGTGTAGGGGGCTCTGGCTCACCAGCTCCGCCAGGCTGGGGCCAGCAGTGCCATGCTGGGGCCAGCAGTGCCATGCTGGAGGCTGGGCGGGGAGCTGGGAGGAGCAGGCAGGAACAGCTGTGGGATGTGCAGGGCCGTTTGGGCCACTGTGGCCATGCCCTGCCCCACCCCATGTGCTACAGCAAGGTCCCCTGCAGGGGGCCAGAGACGTAGACTGTGGCAGGGGTTTTGTTGGGTCTTTATTGAATGTCTTCATGAACTAAGATTTCATGGCCCCCTGATGTGCTACTTGTCTGCAGACTTAACCTTAGATGAGCACCATCCAGACTGCTGTGCTCATTGCTCTGTAGAGATTTTCCTCTGTGTGTGTGTGTGTGTGTGTGTGTGTGTGTGTGTGTGTGTGTGTAACCCTAAAGGAATACTTCCCAGGGCTATTTGCTCTTCAGCTGATGATTCAGAAACCAAAATCCCTTGGAACTCACAGGCCCTGCAACTCCCCGACCCCAATGCCTGAAACACACGCACATACATGCACACACACATGCACATACTTGTCTCTCAAAGTATGTTCAAAGATGATGCAACCATGATGACTTCAGTGCCTATGTATAGCTAAGAAACCAATGTAGGCTTGGCCAGGCCCTCAAGAAGTCAGCTACCCTGGGGCTTGGGTCGTCACGGTCATTGACGAGCTGGTCGTGGGAAATCCTGGCAGCTAGAGCCCCAGTGGTCTGGCAGACCCTCCAAGAGGGCAGCCCAAAGTCTGAGATCCAGGCACCAGATCGTCCCAAGTCCTCCCCCGGTCCCAGCTCCACCCTTTGTCTCCCTGGTCACATGACCCTCCCCGAGCTGTCCCCATGTCCCTGCCTCCTCCATCTTCTCCCCTAGCCTGGGGGCGTGCCGGCTCTGGAGACTGCAGCAGTTCCAAAACTGGAGTCTTTTTCCTGCCTCTCTTGGTGGAATCTGTCACTGATCAATGACACAGAGGAAGGAACTTAGACTTCAGGGTCAGTCAGTCTCAGTCCAAATGTGAACTCTACCTCATGCTAGCTTGGTGGCCTTGGCGAGTTGAAAAGTTCTCTGAGCCTCAGTCGTCTCATCACTAAAATAGGGACATGAATTTCTACCTTTAGTCTACCGAGAAACCCGTGGTAGACTCTTGATTCCTCCCTGCATCTCTCCCCCTCCCATGGGTGCCAACGAGGAGCTCTCATCTGCAGTGATGCCAGACCTGGCTGATGTCTCTGCTGGCCCAGGTGCCCACCCATGGCAGGTGGTCAGAGCCTCACCTGTCTCTCCAGGACCCGGCCAGGCTGCGCAGGCGCAGCAGCAGTGAACACCTTCTGCAGTGAGCTATCCAGCTCCAGGAGCAGCGCCTCTTTCAGGAGCAGCACGTCGGCGCGCTTCTGTGCCTCGGCCTCCGTCAGCGCGGCCACCTGCTGCTGGTGGGTCCACAAGTCCCTGTCCATGCCCTCGGCCAGCGGGAGGGGCTGGGGTGGCATGCACACCTCCAGGTGGGCAACGGTCAGGCTGACCTGCTGGTCCTGGCCCAGGACATACTGGTAGAGTTTGTAGTGGCGGATGAAGGTATGGTGGAAGTAGTCACAGAGGGCCAGCAGGTGGGTGGTGTTGAAATGGTCCTGGTAATCTCTGAGCTTGTTCCCCAGGATCGTCACAGCCTCAGTAATGGAGCAGCCTGTGGGCACAGGGGCCAGGTACAGAGTGGGAGTGGGACAGAGCTGCCCTGCCAGGCAGTGGATGTGGGCTCTGCACCTAGACAGCCTGGTCACAGAGCCCATGTCCCCACCACATTTTAAAAAATATTTATTTCTATTTAATTTTTTGAGACGGAGTCTAACTCTGTCACCCAGGCTGGAGTGCAGTGGTGCGATCATAGCTCGCTGCAGCCGCCAAATTCCAGGCTCGAGAAATCCCCCTGCCTCAGCCTCCTGAGTAGCTGAGACTACAGGTACATGCTACCATACCTGACTAATTTTGTTTATTTTTTGTAGAGATGAGGTTATCACTATTTTGCCCAGGCTGAACTCCTGAACTCAAGCGATCCTCCTGCCTTGGCCTCCTAAAGTGCTGGAATTACAGGCGTGAGCCACTGTGCCTGCTCTAACTGCAATTCTTATTACCATGCATTAGCTCTTGAAAAATACAGAGTGTACCACGTTTCTTTTTTTACTTGCAGTAACTTATACTTATCCCATTTTTTCTTACATAATTACCCCAGTATAATCATATAAATATGATTATATGATCTCAGTATAATCACATTATCATTACCAGTATTTTGTCTTTTTTGTTTGTTTTTCTGAACTCCTGGGCTCAAGCGATCCTCCTACCGTGGCCTCCCAATGTGTTGGGATTACAGGAGTAAACTACCACACCTGGCCAGTATTTTGTCTTTTGATGCCTGTTTTAAAGATGTACTTTAGTTGTGCTTTATCTTGTTTCTACTTCTCTTCAGGAAGGAGATGAGAATGTAGAAAAGGAATTCCCATAAGAGTAGAGTAGGAGGTGGCGGGGCACGGTGACTTACACCTGTAATCCCAGCACTCTGGGAGGCTGAGGTGGGTGGATCACTTGAGGTCAGGAGTTCGAGACCAGCTTGGCCAACATGGCAAAACCCCATCTCTACTAGAAATACAAATATTAGCTGGGTGTGATGGCAGGTGCCTGGAATCCTAGCTACTCGGGAGGCTGAGGCAGGAGAATTGCTTGAACCCAGGAGGTGGAGGTTGCAGTGAGCCGAGATCATGCCATTGCACTTCGGCCTGGGAAACAGAGCAAGACTCCATCCCCCCGCCAGAAAAAAAAAAAAAAAAAAAAAAAAAAGGAAGAGTGGAAGCAGGTGATTGATGCCCAGGCAACTGTTGTGCTGGTGGCTTGTGTTGCAGAGTTGGGAAAATATTATTTACCCCATGCAAAGGATTGGCTCTGAAGGTAGCACTTGGGCAGTGCTCCTTGGGGGGTGACCCATCTCCCCACTTCTTCTCTCCTCCTCTCCCATTCACTCCTCCTGCTCACAACTCTTTCAGGTGCTCAGCACAGTGGTTGGAGGCAGGGCTCTCCCATCATCTGCTTGGTTCTCAACAGAGGAGGTGGTTCATGAAGGGTCGTGGCTGAATTACATGTCTACCCTGGTGAGTAGATGAGCAGACATCAGGCAGAGACACAGGCAAGTCAAGGGCAGCAGGAGAGCACAGCCCTGGCTTGGAGACCTGGGTTCTCATAGACACTGTCCTGGAATTGCACTGTGGACTTGGCCAAGCCTATCCTGCTCCCTGACTCAGTGTCCCCCTCTGAAGAATGAGGGCTTGGGCCAGGCGCCCACCAGATCATGCACTTTGGAGAATTCCACAGTTCCCTCTGCTGACAATGAAAGTAGCATGTTGTAGGCAAGGAGCCACGCTTTTCCCCAAAGTGGGGGACCTGGCTTGTCCACAGACCCTTTCCTTTGCTCTTCCTTTGTGTGAGCCCTCCATGGGGCGCTATGCGGTTTCCTCACCCCCGGCTAGAGTGCTGCATGCCCCTTCAGCAGGGACTGTCTCAGCCTTGCCCACAAGGTTGTTTTGAAGTCCCCCCACCCCCAGTCCCTTCATGTTCCCTCTTGGCTGGTCCCTGAGGCTGTCTTGCTCTGTATGGAAATATTCACCTTGAATCTCCCCAAAGTACCCAGAGGGTGGAGACATCATGGTTTTGGGAAAATATTAGCAAAAGGGGCACCACTCCACTTGGAGCCATGTTAGGATGTGCTGGGAGTGACGCCTGGATTCTGGCAATCTCAGCCTCCTGGGGGAGGGAAGGAGGGACTGCTCCACCATGCATAATTACAGACTGGAGGCTGTGCTTCTCCTTTCTGTGATGGCAAACCAGTAGGCTTGGAGCCCAAGGATTACACTCCTCTTGTGAGGGTACCAGGTTTGGAGGTCTGAGATACTCTGTCCCTCTTAGATATGAGACTGGGCCTTTTTCCCTCAAATGTAAAATTCAGAATAGTGATACTGACTTCATAGGCTTGTTGGAAGGGTCAAATGGGGTAAGATGTCCAGCTTCATACAGAGCCTAATGCAAGCCAGCAATAAATGCTGTAGAAAGAATTTATTTCTACCTTTGCAAAAAAATGTTTCTCCCTTCCCCTTTCCCCTCCTCCATAGAGCCTTCCCTCTATTCCTTCCTTCATTCATCTCTGTCCATCTTTCCATTCATCCATTCTTTCACCCATCCATCCATTCATCCATCATCCTTCCACTTATCCATCCATCCATCCATTCATCTATCCATCCATCTGTCCATCCATCCATTCTTCCACCCACCCATCCACCCATCCACCCATCCACCCATCCATTCATCCATACATTCATTCATCCATTCTTCCAACCACCCATCTATTTTTCCACCCATTTGTTTATCCATTCACCTATTCATCCATCCATTAATTCTTCGATCTATCCACCCATCCATTCACCCATCCTTCTATCCATTTGTGAAAGGAAAATAAAAACTTGGGAACCCAATTCACTGTGCCAAAAGAAAAAAATTAATTAACCTGAAAGTTGAGTAACACAAGAAACTGGCTTTCCTTTGATTCCTAAGCAGGTAGCTACAAATAAAAGGTTAAATATCTCTACAGGTAGCTACTCTATATTCACCTTATCTTTTTTTTTTTTTTTTTTTTTTTTTTTAGTACACAATGAATTGCTTTTATTTCGGTATGCATCCACATTTCAGCATTTAGTGGTCCTGAACAGCAAGTGGAAAGACGCAGCAATTTGCTAGGAGGTCAAGCCCACCAATTTCGGGGATCTGCTGTGCACACCGGGTTCTTTCTTAAAACCTGCTGAGGATCTTGGGAAGCAGCAGCAGCACCAAAACCAAGGCATGCACCGGATTCAAGGTTCTTTTTGTTCCAGTTGTCAGATTCCAAACTAGACCCCAATGGATTGCAAGGATGACCAAATGAAAGCCCTGTTTAAAACTTCTTCAATTTTTAAAAGCAAAAGAATTATAGGAAAATAAAACAATTCAGAGGGATCATGTGTGCTTACAAGTGTCTTCATGTGGTCTTTCTCCAAGTTCAACCACCAAGGACTCCAAGAGCTGGCAGGTCTGAGTAACCCTGGTGACTATTCTTTTCACCTTATCAAAACCTGAGCTAAAAACAATGCATCAGCTGATGACAGCAGAGGGTGGCAGGGCTGAGGCCCCATTATTCATTTCCCAGGCTGGTGGACAGTGAGTGAGTACGGTTCCAAAACTAAACAAGGGAGGTCAGAGACTCTTTCCAACCTTACCTGATGGCTTCTGGCCAAAGCAAGGAAGTGTCATGGAAGGTGTTGAGTGGTGATGGTGCAAAAAGGAACTTGAGGAGGAGGGAGAAAAAGCAGCACCCCTCGATAAAGGTGGGGGAGAGAAGATATGGGGAAAGCCCTGAATTCCTCACCGAAGGCCAATCTCAGAGGGGAGCGGAGGGGTTACAATCTGTGCTTCGGCCAAGGGTGGGAGTGGAGGAGTGTGGGAATAGGATGATGGCTTGGAAGGGGCATCATTTAAGACTTAAAGAAACCAGGGGTGCAGGCGAAGCACCCCACACACCTAGCAGTAGTCCCACAGGCTGCGACCTGAAACCTTCACATCTACTCTAACAAGCCCCCCAGGCTAGAGGGCTGTTGTTGCAGGGAGGGTGGGAGGCGGGAGGGTAAGGGGAGAAGGCAGAGACCCCAGGCCGTGTAATCAGCAGCAAGGTGATTGTGTGATGTGTCTTTTCACAGTTAAGTTAGATGTGCCCCACCAGTTATGATGGGAATCAATTTAAATAGACTTTCTTGATCCCAGAAGTTCAACTACGTGGACAGTGGTTACACTTGACAGGATGATTTGTTATAGCACAACTTATATATTTCAAATGGACAAAAAATTAGTATCATTTACAGTATCTTAAGATAAATTTCCTTTGAATGGGAGCTTCCTTTCCAGTACTTTGAGGTCTACAAGACGTATCTAGAAAATTTACTACTGTGGAAAATGAAGACTGCTTAAATCGAATGGGGGGGAAGGGGAAGGGCCTGTGGTTTTTCTTTTTGATTAATTGCTGTAACACTGTCCTTCGGGCGGCTGAGGGAGTTTCATATTTTCTTTAGACATCATTAGGCGCCGAAGCTCTTGCAGGACAACTTTGATGCTATATGAATTCTGCCATTTTGCTAGCACTGATATGGCTCTTGGGTCCACCACTCCATTAGAACTATTTACTCCATTCATATTAATTTTTGTTACAAATCTTACAAAGGGGGGTGCTTCTGGGTATTTAGGTCCACGTTCTATTTTAAGGCTGTATATTCGGTTTTCATAAATTGTTCTTGGAGGCCCAATTATCATCCCTGTCCATCTTGTAAGTGTCATGTCTTCGTCATCTTCTAGACCCCAGCTAACTGTGCCATCTCCTACTCCTTTCTGGCCTTCTTCGAGTTCTTCCAACAGTCGGAAATTGCGAGGGACTTTAACTCCCGAGCCCGTGGTGGCTGCCATCTTGCGTCGCTGTTGCTTGAAGGCCCTATATTCACCTTATCTTATATAAGGTGCCAATTTACTGAGCAAGGGAGGAACACATAATTGATTATTCTGCACCTGTTCCTTTTCTCTTGCAACATGTGGATCACCATACCCTCCTTCTTTCCCCTCCAGCCCACTTTCCCCTTTAAATATTGAAACCCTCAAAATTATTTTGAGAAAGGAATAGATCTTTCTTCCAGGTATGTCATTAACCTTGGCAAAATAACCTTCTAAATGGATTGAGACCTGTCTCAGATACTTTTCGGTTTACACATTTATCCTTCCATTCACCCAAGATTAGTTTGTCAAATGGTGACTGAACCTATAAATTGTTACTGCCTATTAATTACTCGGCACTATGCAAGATTTTGGCAGTACTATGACAACAAATAAGTCATATCCCCTGCTCTCAGATGCTTGCAGGAGAGACACAAGCAGATAATGGCAGTGCATAGTAAAGAGGAACAGAGTTGGGTGAAGAAGAGCACGGACTACAGGACCGGGTCCTTCTAGAGAAGGCGATGTGTGAGCTGCATCCCAGAGTGAGGCTGAGCCAGGCCCAGAGGTGGGGCCACTTCACAGCCCAGCTGAGTGACAGCAGAGGAGCAGGAAGCAGCCTGGCCTGGGTGGGAGCAAGGTGAGGCTTGTTGTCATTGGCATCTAAAGGTGGAGGCAGATGATGGCAAGAGCTGCATGGAGAGGTGGGTGGAAGACAGACACAAGGGCCTTGGATGGACGCCATACTCAGAACCAGGGCTCTGTCTTCTGGGCAGTGCACAGAAGGAGTGGATCTGAGTGGCAGGACCTGGCCATCCTTAGACGTAGGGTGTGCAAGACAGAAACCGGCACAAGCCCCAGGTTCTTATGGGGGATGTTGGAGGGACAGTGGGCCTACCAACAGAGAGAATACCATATGGTAAGATGCTGACTTCTGACATGACCCCTGCCCTCAGAGAGATTCCAGTCTTGAAGAGGAGACAGTCAAACAAATGATGGCCACCTTTGTATTCTTGGCCTCCAGCACTGGGATTTGTGCACAGGAGGGGCCCAGTCAAAGTCTACAGAGTAAATGAACCAGCTCTAATATGTCAAGGTGGAGGTGTTCATTCATTCTGTCAACAAATACTTATTCGGGGTTTCCCTGTGCCAAGAACTCTTTCAGGTTCCAGGGAGGTGGTGGAGGGCTGGGGAGGAAATGCACAGATATCTAGCTCTGCACGGGGCTCTGTGGGATTGGCAGCACACAGGACAGGAAGAAGGTCAGGAAGGGCTTCCCTGAGGAGGCAGTAAAGGGGCTGGGATGGACTGGGTCAAAGGGGTTTGCTGGGCAAAGAGGTGGTGAAGAGCGAGGCAGGAGGGACAGCAGCTTGTGCAAAGGCCCTGTGGTTGAAGCAGGCATGGCCCTCTGAGGGACTGAAAGGTGGGGGAGGAAGGCAGTCAGCAGGCTGGAGATCTGCAGGCGAGGAGCTGCCTGGCTGGAGATGAGGTTGGGTAGGCCAGGTCCCGAAAGCCCCTAGCATGCCCTGCCCTGCAGGGGTCCCACCCCCAGGGTCACCGTCTGGCAGTACCCCCGACGGAGTCTTTCTCCAGAGTTACTCATCAAGGTCTTTGATCTTGCGCATTTTACTGATGTGATTTGTTCTTGGTCATTTTCCCTCCGCTAGCACTCAAGCTGTGAGAGAGCGAGAGGCCGTCTTTTCTGTTCACTGCTGGGTACCAAGTGCCAGAGCAGTGCCCAGCTCCTAGGAGGTGCGCTGCAGAGAAGGAGAGCCTTGTTGAATGGACACAAGGGAATGGGCATAGCACTTTCAGAGGCCAAGGCAGGGGGATCACGCGAGCTTGGGAGTTCAAGACCAGCCTGGGCAACATAGAAAGACCCCAGCACTATAAAAAAAAAATAGCCAGCATGGTGGTGCATGCCTTTAGTCCCAGTTACTCAGGAGGCTGAGATAGGAGGATCACTTGAGCCTAGGAGGTCAAGGCTGCAGATCGTGCCACTGCACTCCAGTCTGGACGACAGGGTGAGATCTTGTCTTTCACACACACAAAAGGATTTATTTAGGGAACATTCCCATGTGCCAGGCATTGGGGGATGTTGCCTGTGGCCAAGGCTTTCACCATGGAGGCTGCTGGGCTGGCAGAACAGGCACCACAGGCCAGGCCCACCCCGACATGGCAGAAGGGTTTCCAGCCGGTAGGGGGTGAGTGGAGCCAGGTTCCAGGGAGCCAATTCTGGCAGCAGGAGGAACAAGCTGTGTCGGAAGGAAGGGCCAAGGCCTCGGAGGGGATCAGCCTAGGGCAGGGTCCAGGTCCAGCTTCACTGACCAGAAGCTCTTGGCTGCTGCTGCCCTCCGGCCAGCAAAGACCCGCCTGGCCCCACATGCTGTGTCCCTTCCCGTCCTTTCACGCAGAGCTGGGCGTCAGAGCACGCAGGCCTGCCGTCAGTTGGCAGGAGCTTCCCCGCAGGGACACAGTGAGAGAAGGAGGAGCTCTGAGAGGCCAGGGGATCTGCACATGCCCCATGTCGGAGGCACCAGGCTGGGGTCCAGAGGCCGATGGGAAAGGCCACCCCAAGCAGAGGGGCCAGCAGTGGTGAAGGCCTGGGGCGAGTGGGGCACGGCGTGGCTGTGTGCACAGGGCCACACCCAGCTGTCCAGGAGGCAAAGCAGGATTCTGGGGACTGAGCTGGGGGACCCAGGGCTTGTGGTCAGTGTGGACAGGGTCATTCATGACAGCCCTGTGTGCCTTGTGAAAGAGGTGACTTCATCACGGAACACGAGGACCTCTGAGGATAGCGTACATAGAATTATCAAATTCCTCAGGGTTAAGAACCTGGTGGAGAGGTACCGAGGCCAGACATGAGAGGCTGGTGCCATCCCAGAGGGAAGATGGTGACCACGTGGAGGACAGCAGAGACTGCCCATCAAGGGATCCCAGAGGGTGAGCAGACATGAGGCCATCATTTTTGATCAGCAAGCTGGACTCCGGGCCTGTGTGGGGGCGACGGTGTGTGAGCTTCACCAGGTGACTCATCACACCGTCTCTGAACTGGCCGGAAGGTGCCCTCCTCCTCCAGCCTGGCCTGACCTGACGGAGCATGGGGTGGGGTCACCTGCATCCTGCAGCTGTGGGTGGCTGTGTCTGCCTCCTTGGCGAAGGCCAGCCCCTGAGCCCCTCTGTTCAGCCCCAGCTGCTGTACACAGAGCCCAGATCTGAAAGGAGAAGTCCGCCAGGCTCAGTAGTGCGAATGCGCTCAGCAGTTGTGCTGAGCCAGGGTTTCCTGGCGGCTTGTCATCCTGGCCGATGCCCTACTATGGCCACGGGCTGTGGCCTGCACGTAAGAGGTCATACAAACCAAGTGCAGACCTTGTCCTGGGTCAACAGGGAAGGAGCCCCTGGGCTGAATTCTAACTTTCGGCCCCCAGACACTCTTGGCTGATTGTGGGTTTCAGCAAAGCTTGTTGGAAGCCCGCTCATGAGACATACTTTCTTGGCCTTGGACCACACTCCCTGGGCCTCGGGTTGAGAAGTTCCTGGTGACTCAGAAAGCAGAGGGATTAAGTCTCAGGGAGAAGCCGCTGGCTGCAGGGCGGACAGATCTGTGCCTGCAAGTTGCTCTTCAATAACAGGGAGTGGCCTTCATTTGCATTGGCTGCTGGGAACTTCCTGAAGATGGTCCCCAAGCCCCTGGAGGCCAGCACCTGTGAGGAGATGCAGTGGGAGTGGGGGAGGGGAGGAATGAGGAGGGGAAGGGCGGGGGAGGCTTGCTGGGCAGATGTCAGCAGAAGCTCCACGATCAGGGCAGAAACGGCTCGGACCAGGAGGCTCCAGTGGCTTCCTTGGCCCCTCAAACCTGGAGTCTGGGCTGGGCGAGCAAGGGGAGATGCACCATGTCCCTGTGGGGCTGGAAATGGGGAAGGTTGCTCCTTCTGGGTGTGCCTGAGCGGGAGGACCCAGGTACCCCGATAAACCAGTTTGGTTCCCCCATCTTGCCTCCCAGGGGCAGGAACCAAGTCAAGCTACAGCCTGGCACTGCTCACCTTTCCCAACACCTGAGCGCCTACCAGGGCTGACCCGATATGGTGGGAAGCAGACGAAAGCAAGGGCCCACCATCTCCACCCAACCGCATCCTTCGTCTCCCCGCATTGCCCTCTGCCCTCTTTGTGCTCCTGGGGAGACTCTACTAGTAAACTCCTTCACCCCTGGGTGCCAGGGACTGTACTGCCCAGGTGAGCTCCCCTCAGTTAGGGAGCACCCACTGCCTTGTGCCATGCATGCTCTAGGTCACTCGGTCTCCCAGCTCCCAGCACAGTGAGGCTGGCACAGGCACCAACCCCTCTTCACCCAGGAGAGAAACTGAGGCTCAAAGAGGCTGAGGGGTTTGCAGAGGGCCACTCAGGTGGTAAGTGCCTCAGCAGGAATTCAAACTCCAGGCCATCCAGCTCCAAGCAGCTTTGAGGTCTTTTTGTAGATTCTTGGAGGTGGACACTGCAAGGGACCTCCAACCCCATTGGTCACATTTTCCAAAGAATGTTTTGCAATAGCTGTTACAGTTGACCCTGGGACAACATGGGTTGGAACTGCAAGAGGAAGGAGTCCCTGCGCTGAATTCTAACTTTTGGCCTCCAGATGCTCCTTCGGGTCCACTTACACATTGATTTTCTTCCTGTGCCACCCCCAAAACGATAAGACCAACCCCTGCTCTTCCTCCCCCTCCGCCTGTTCAACATGAAGATGACGAGAATAGTGACCTTGATGATAATCCACTTCCGCTTAATGAAGGGTAAATGTATTTCCTCTTCCTTATGATTTTCTTAATACTTTCTTCAGCCTACTTTATCGTAAGAACACAGTACATAATACATATTACATACAAAATATATGTGAATCAACTGTTTATATTATCAGTAAGGCTTCTGGTCAACGGTAGGCTATTAGTAAGTAAATTCTGGAAGAGTTCAAAGTTACATACGGGTTTTCAACTGCACGGGAGG